ATTTCATGGACAGCAAAATGAACATGTAGTATTGGAGAAGAGTGCTGACTATTTCATGGACAGCCAAAACAAATAGATTTGTCTTATAGAAAGCGCAGCCATAATATTTCTTGGAGATAAGGATGACAAAGCTTCATCTCACATACTTTGGGCATTTTGCTAGGAGTGATTTCTGGAGAGACATCATACGTGGAAAGGCAGATGGTCAGTGAAAAGCAGAAGGACACTCAACGAGATGAGTTGTTACAGTGACTGCAGCAATGGTTTCAAGTGTATCAGAGATGATGAGGACGGTGCAGGATGGGACAGAGTTCACATCTGTGTTCACAGGTGGCTGTGGGCCATACTCCACTGGACAGCACGACATGTAGCCACATAATAACATTACATATCTGACAGCTCTAGTGGCCTAGTGGTAAGGAGATGAACTGCCAACCCAAAGAAATGTGATTCAAATTTCCCCACAGTTCTGTGAGAGAAAGATGGATAATCTCCTTCAGTGTGATCTATTGCATCTGAAAGCCTATTGCAGGGTCAGCTATGAATTGGTTCAGACTTCATGGTATATATCATCATCAACAACAATAAAATCTAAAATTATTGATGATTATTCATCATTATTTTAGTATTAAGAGTGTAACAAATGTGTAGATATAATACATAACCTATTCAAAGTCTATTGGTGTTTTAAAATTCTTTAAATCATCAAAGTTTGTAGAAATAGTAATATCTTATAGAAATTTAGTTTAGTTTAAATGGCATGTTTAAACTTGAACTTTTATTAGTTTTTAACAGTTGGATTAAGTCTGCTAAAGTTTTTGACAAAAGTTTTCATTATTTATGTTGGTGCAGGGTAGCAGAAATGAATAGTCTTTCCTTTTCTGTCAGGTTTGGAATCACAACTATCCAGTTTGGCATTTTCGTAATTAGAAAAAGAAACTTTTTTCTAGGCCAACATAAGCAATTGCCGGATTGTTCCACAATGAAGTAATGCATAATACTCTTTATGATGTTGTTGTTATTGTTACATGCTTTCAGGTCCAGTACAACTCATTGTTCATAGACACTAAAAGACATGAGCTCTGTCCTGTCCAGTGCCATCCTTATTATCCTCAATACATCTGAGTCTACTTACATAGACATTGCATCAATGTATCTCATTAAGGGTCTTTCTCTCCTTGGCTGACCTTCCACCTTTCCAAGCATGATGACCTTTTCCGAAGAATATTCTCTACTAACAATATGTCCAAAATATGTGAGATGAAGCTTCACCATCTTTACCTCAAAAGAGCACACTGGTTACACTTTCTCCAAGACAAATCTGTTTGTGCTTTGACAGTCCACGGGATGCTCCTCACTCTTCTTTAACATCACAATGAAAATGCATCGATTCTTCTCTTGTCATCCTTGTTCATTGTTCAGCTCTCAGATGCATAGCAGGTGGTTGGAAAGACTTTGCCTTGAATCTGGCACATCATAGTCTTAAAACTGACATTATTGTTCTTCAGAATTTGTGGAGAACCCTGACAGCAGACTTTCCCAAAAGCTATACATGCCCTGATCTCCTGACAGCTGGTCATACCATTGGTGTTGACTGTGGATCCAAGCAAAATGAACTTGTTGACAACACCTATCTTTTCTCCCTTTATGATAATATTGCCTGTTGGCCCCGGGTTAAGTTTTATTTTCTTGATGTCCTTAACTCACAGGAATCCTATTACCAATAAATCTGAACTTTGTCCTATACTGTGCCATCTTTATCATCTCTAATATACTTGAGCCCACTGGTACAGAGTGTCAATCTATCTCATTGTACCTCTTTTTCTTACTCTTCACTTTTCCTAGAATGTAATCTCTGGTAACATGCCCAAAGTATGTGAGAGCAAGTCTCTGCAGCCTTGTCTCTGAGGAGCACCTTGGTTACACTTCCTCCAACACTGATTTGTTCATTCTCCAGTTCATGGCAGATACAATTTTCTCCTCCAACACTACAATTCAAAGACATCAATTAGTTTGTGGTCTTTCTAACACATTGTCCAAATTTCAGGTGCATATAAACAAGTGAAAATACTATAGCTTGGATCAAGTGCACCTTAGTCTTTAAACTAATATCCTTGCTCATTAACACTTTGTAGAAGTCTTTGACAGCAGATTTTTTCGAATGCAACATATCTTGTGATCTCTTGGCTGCCGCCATCATAGGTGTTGATTAGAGATCCAACTAAAATAAAGTCTTTGACCACTTCAATCTTTTCTCCATCTAACATGATGTTGTCTCTTTTTTGTTTTCTTGGTGATTCTGTGTAATTCCTATTGCAGGCTTTGATCTGTTTCAAGTCTTCACTTTCAGCCAGGAAGGTTATTTTAACTGCATAATGCAAGTTGTTGATAAGTCTTCCTCCATGCCACATTCTTCATATTGTCCAGCTTCTCCAATCACAAACTTTCATATTATTTACTTTTTGATAGCTTACCCTTTTCTGTGAGTGCATGAACCAGGGGTTTCTGTGAGTAATGACTGGGTTTCTTATCATTTCTGTGTGCCTTTGGCCAGCATCTTTGGGTAGTACATAACTATATGACCTTACTCCATGTTTAGGTATTCAGAAAGAAAATCTTATCAACATGTTAAAAGGAAGACACAGATACCAAAATGATGGATGTGAATTTTGTCTGTGGGAGGAAGTTGAGGGCTCAATGTATAGAAGAAAGTAAGCAGCATTATTAATGTAAGATTAAAATATACATTATCATACAACAATTTTCATTTTCTGGATTCTGAATATAAACGTGGCAAAAAAAAGAAAGTTGCTGAAATATTGACTATAGTGTCTCAGGTAGGGCTAACCTCCTCTAACTGCAGTGGAAGTTTGTGGTTTTGTTGTTGCCGCTTTCAAGTTGTCTATTGAAAATAAGAAGTACAAATTTTACCTACCAGAGGCTAAACCACAAACAGGTAACTGAAATATTTTTTTTCGGGTGGGTTAGCTTCTACTTTAGATCCTGAGAGGTCTTCTCTTAGATTACACTTCCAACTTGTTACCTGGAGTGGGAGTTCTTTGGAAGCTTCTCTCTCTCTCTCTCTCTTTTTTGTGGTAATCCATCTTTATTATTATTAATAATTTTAATGAATATTTACAGAGACTTTGGATTTCCATTCATTCATTGTTGTATTTTTCTCCCTGCCCACCTCCCTTCCCCTTCCCCGACCCTGTTCCACTCTTCTCTTTGAAAAGTAAAAAAAAATTTTCATTGTTATACAATTCCTCCACTCCCGAATCCATTCCACTAATCAGCCTTCATTCTGGACTCCTGTCATGACAATAATACCTAATCCTATATCGCTTTTAATCAGTTCTCTCCCTCACCTGTTTCAATGCAGTATACATTAATGATTCCAGAGAACTCTTGATGAGACTCCACCGTGCAATTAATCTTTAATTTTTATTTATTTGGGTGTAATACAAAGCGATGTAAAATGCCCAATATTGTTGAACAATGAAAATGTTTACACTCTTTCCTATCTTCTAAATGTATTTGTATCTTTAATGTATGTTATATTTTCCTTTCCAATATTACTAGGTATTTAGGAATTATTATTATTATTATTAATTTTTTTGCCTTTTATGTTTTCTTGAAGAGTTTCTTCATCTGGGCTTTCACCCAAGAATGCCTTCCACTTTGATTCTCAATCGAACGAGTGGATGCCAAGAATTAACTCCTAGAGAATTGTGGGCTAAATGAAGTACAGCTTCTGGTAAGGTAGCCCATCCAAATCTGAAGCAACAGATGTTCATTAAAAACCGGTAGCAAAGCCATTACGGGAAATTAAAAATGCTGCTTGAATATACCAAGTGGTATGATAAAATTATCCTCTAACAAAAAGAAAATATTTTAAATTGTTTTGAATATAAGCAATAGCAAAGCATAAGCTGGTGATTAGGTGTTTAATCACAGCAGTTTTTCCTCAAGAATGTCAGCATTCCTGAAGAGAATGCCTTCAACTGACTGCTATTTTGTAGCTATCTATAATGACTATTTCATAGACTGTTGCCAACAAGCCAACACCACAGGTTGTAGATTCTCTTTGAAATGTTTGACTAAAATAGATTTTAAAAAAAACCCCACAAACAAAAACAAAACCCATAAAACAAACATAAAACAAAAATACCAAACCTTGAAACTAGAAATGTCTTCCTTGTAAGAGTCTTTGTAATCTTTTTGTCTCTGTTTCTGTTGGGAGAAATGATTGTTGTGATTTTTCAGTACCTTCTGCATCCTGGACAAGCTCCTTCATGAATTTTCCTAATGATTTTGCTCTCGTGTTGGTCCTCTCAGCATCCTGTCCAGTTTGCTCGCCATCTGCTGTCACTTTGGTCGCCTAATGATCCAAATTCAGAAAAAGCATAATTAATAGGGAAGATGAAGCTACAGCTAGATAAGCTCCCCTTGGCTACATTTTCTTTCAAATATTACTTTGAGCCAAAGGCAATCGATGAATTATTGATCAGATGCACTGGAAATGACACCCCATGCTCAAGTATACAATTAAACTTTATTACTTCTTCCATTAAATGGAAATCAGAGAACCGCACTTGGTCTGTTTAAAACCGTCGTTATATGGAACTGCAGAGGAGAAGCGACAAAGAGCAATTATTTTTGAAATATCTTCAAGGTAGTTTTGCCAAAAGTCTTTAATGGAGTCTTCAGCCCCCACACATTGTAGTTTCACTCTTATTTTATCTACTGAACTAGGGTGGAAGTCAACAATGATCACTTGAAGGAGGCACAGGCAGTGTGTCTCAATAAGCTCGATCCTATAGATTCACTTTAGATCAATACATTAATTAAAGAAACAAAGAGGGGGAAATATTTAGGTGCTAAGTAGTGAATGCCTATTTTATAACACTTTGAAAATGCCAGTAAAAACCTTAAGGGAGACTAAGTACCACCGTGTCCCACATAGCAATACCAGTAAAGATGACAATCATCAAGCACCACACCATTGTCACCTAGACAAAACAGAGGCTATTAACCTCTCCAAAAGTGTCCTCAAACAGGTTCACCTTTAATGTACATTGAAAAGGCCATTTGACACAGTGAGACCAATTTAATGTGTACAATTGGGATATAACATATTTAGTCAAACAAAGCTGATATGGGAAGTTTTAAAGTTTCACAACAAGCTACTCTGAGGTTTAAAATATACTGAAATAGGTTTTTACTTCATTTGTGTATGTGTATATAAATGTTCAAAAAAAGCTCTTTTGATTAAAAAGATATGAATAGTCTAACCACAGATAATAAAGAATTGCAAACTGTCTCAATATAATTTTGAATAATGTCTAAGCTGGCAGAGTATTAATATGCTATAATCTTTGTGCCAGAGTGTTTTCATTCTAGACATGCCCCAAAAATTGAAATTATTATTACGCATAAGTGGATTTTAAATAGAACTAAATGTCTGGCCATCATGGAACATAGTAAGAGATGCTGCAGGAATTGGGCTGTGTTTTGTGATTTCCCAGGGGTAATGAGAGGTTTAATTTAGAAAGATGTTTGAGATTTTACATAAAAGGTTGATTTTCTATTTCGTTATTATCATGTAATTTCTCAACCTGCAAGTGTTTCCATCACAAATTATAAAATAAAAAGACTAAAAAAATTTCACTGGAATGTATAAAAATTTCTCTTCCCAGTTCACACAATATATGTGCACAATGATTTGCAGAAGGTTAATCAATACTAGAGTACTGAAGATCAACGATGCCAGTCTGGAGACTAAAGTGCACCTGATCCAGACCAAGGTCTTTGCAATTACATGCTATGCATCAGAAAGCTGGACAATGACTAGGGAGGATAGAAGAAGAATTGGTGCCTTTGAGCTATTGTACTGAAGAGGAGTATTTCATATACCATGGACATCTAGGAGAACAAACAGGTTCATCCTGGAGAGGGTGAAGACAGGCTGTTCTGTGGAGGCAAGGATTCTGAAGTTTCATCTGACATACTTTGGACATGTTTCCAGGAGGAACCAGTCCTTGGAGAGAGATGTCATGCTTTGGAGGGTGGCGGGACTGCACAGGAGGGGAAGACCCTTGACAAGATGATTCACTAACTGGAGTAATGGGGGCAGCTGTGTCGGATATAGTATGGTTGGCTCAGGATAGAGCAGGATTTAGGGCTGTTGTACATAGGGTCGCTATGAGTAGTAAATGACTTGATGGCATGTAATAACAACAATGGATACACAGAATCCTGGGTGGCTCAAGGGCTGGGTGACTCACCGCTAACCAAAAGATTGGCAGTTGAAACATAGCAGCAGCAGTTCAGTGGATAGGAAGCCTGGTAAACTGCTTCCATAAACATCACAGTCTCAAATTCTTTTTTTCTCTGACATAGAGTCATGTTGCACTCAATGACGTACTACACTGGGAAAGTCTGTGGTCAGGGATCTCCGCAACAACAATATAGAGGGGATCCAACTACAGAATGTTGTTGGTTTTATGTGCTGTCGAGTCATAGTGACCCTATGTAAATGGTTCTAAATGCCATTCTATCCTGTGCCAACCTCATTGTCTCTGACATAGCCACTCCCACTACTCTAATTACTGAATCACTCCATCTTATCAAGGGTCTTCCTCATCTGCACCGTCCCTCCACCCTCCTAAACATGATATCCCTCTCTAAGGACTGGTCCCTCCTTGGAGCATGCCCAAAGTATGTCAGATGAAGTTTTAGAATCCTTGCCTCCAAGGAGCAGCCTGGTTTCACCCTCTCTAGGTAAACCTGTTTGTTCTCCTAGCAGTCTATGGTATATTCAGCACTCTTCTCCAGCACCACATCTCAAAGACATCAATTCTCTTTCTATCATCCCTAGTCACTGTGCAGCTCTCTGGTGCATAGCATGCAATGGCAAAAACTATAGCTTGGATCAGATGCACCTTAATCTTCAGCCTGACGTTGTTACTCTTCAGTACTCTGGAGAGGTCCCTGACACCAGACTTTCCAGTGCAATTAGTTTCTTGATTTCCTGGCTGCTGGTACCAAGAGTGTTGACTGTGCAGCCAAGCAAACTAAAACCTTTAACAAATTCAATCTCTTCACCATGCATTCTGTTGCTACCAACTGGCCCAGTGGTGAGAATCTTTGTTTTCTTGATCTTGAGCTTCAATCCGTATTGAAGGCTGCAGTCCTTGACCTTCTGCAGCAAGCGCTTCAGATCCTCCTCAGTTTCAGCAGGCAGGGTTGTGTTATCTGCGTAACACAGGTTGTTGATGACTTTTCAACCAATCCTGATGCCACATTCCTCCTCGTACAGCCCAGAATCATCTACCGCTATCTCTAACAGCCAATCTCAGTTATGGCTTCACTCTATGATGTTGTTGTTGTTGTGTACCATCGAATTGGAACTGACCCATTACTGACCTTCCAGTGGGTTTTCAGAGACAGTTAATCACACAGGAGGAGATTGCTCATCTTTCTCCAGGGTAGCAGCTGGTGGCCTCAAACTATGTGCCTTTGGGATTGTGCAGTGCAACTTCTTGTCACCTGGCCACAAGAACCATGATATCCTCCTCTTTTCACATATCATTTGAACACCATAATAAAAACACAATCTATGTGCCAGTCATCTCCCAATATCTTAAGAATTCATCTCTAAATATGTAAATAAAAGCTTTATAGAAAACTTGCATGATAATTTGAACTTGAAATTGACTTCTTACTTTATCAATGTCTTCTCAATATTACCAAAACCATAATGGATATTAAATTCATACCATACAGTTCCAACAATTCTTGTTACTAATTAAAAAAAAAACAAACCTCTGCATTGTCTAAAAGAAAATGTTACACATTTCAAAATTTACACATGTACCCATTCTTGCCTATAACTGAAAGTATCTCACTTACTGCAGGTGAATGTATAGAAACGAAATTATGTATTAGTACTGACTCCTAAAAATTCTGTAGCCCCGATGGTTTACTACCTCAGATGCTCTACTACTAACTGAAAGGTCAGGGTTCAAACATACAAGGTGCTCAGAGGGAAGGGGTGGCCAGTCACCTCCTGTAAAGACTTACAGTCTTAGAAGCCTGACGGACAGTTATTGGGTGTCCGAACTGACTCAAGGGCAGCGGGTCTGCTTTTGATTTTTATAATCTCTGGTTGATCTAGGAAATGATCACTGCTTCAGTGGTCCTCTACTTGCAATTTATCCTTTCACTAGTGATTTATTTGGTCATTTGTAAGACCTATCACTAACAAATGTTTCACCCTTTTTTTTAAGATTTTAAATTTTATTTTACTTTACTACTTTTTGTGTGTGTACCATCAAATCAGATCTGACTAGTACAGGAGGAGATTGCCTCTCCTTCTCCAGAAAAGCATCTAGTAGATTTGAACAATGCACCTCTGGGATTTCAGTGCATCTTCTTTTTACTAAGCCACCAGAGCTCCCACAAATGTTCCGTTCTTAACACCAATTTAAAGTGAAGTTACTACGGACCCTTCATGCCTTGTAACAAGAAACAAGTTTAAGAAGTGATTTTGTGCTCGGTTTCTCAGTATTCTTTTAAATAATAAATATGCCAATCTCTTCTAAAATCTTGCTGTATTCTGCCTGGAACAAGCTCACTGGGACACTTTACCTGACAGTATCTTTGTCATTCATGTGCTTATCTATTCCTTTGCTATTCTCTTGTCTATTCCTCAGCTCTGGTGGCCTCATGGTAATCAACTCTGATGCAATCCCAAAGGCACGAGGTTAAAATCCACCAGCTGCTCCATGAGAGAAAGATGGACAATCTCTCCTCTCATGCAATTGAGCAATCTCTTCCCATGCAATTAACTGCCTCTGAAAACCTGCTGTAGGGCCAGCTATGGGTGGGTTGTGACTTGAAGATACATACTAATAACAACACACTGGGTATTTAATTTCTCACACCACTATGACCGAACACTTCCTTCATTGAAGCATGCATTTTAGAAGTATCTCTTTAAGTGTTGCCTTATATATATGTGTTTGGGTTTTTTGTTTGTTTGTTTGTTTTACCTCCTCAACTAGAAGGTAGGCTCCAAGAGGGCAGAAGTTTGGTCTGTTTTATTGCCTTATATCCAGTTCTTAATATATCACCCAACATATAGAAGATATCCAGTGAATACTGTTAAGCGTATGACTAAATAACAATCTTCCAAAACTAAACTAGTCAATTACATTACTGTTTTTATTGCCTCCTTACTGCTTACCTTTTCCTGAACATTCTCAGAAGCTTCTGTTCACACCATTGACTTGTAATTGCTCTGCAGGCATTGAAAATAAATTCAACTTCCGAGATTTGGAGGAACTGTTGTCTTCTCTTTGACTTTCTTAACTCTCG